TACTGTCCCCCTCCAGACAACTTCAGACAGGACAGGTGGGGGAACTCTGAGCAGCCCTGCAGGCATTTCATTGGCGGCCCAGCTGGAGACTACGGTGGGAAGGATGGGGCTCGCAGCTTAGTGACCCGGGGAAGTTGGCCCAGGGGCCATGAATTCAAACAGTCAAGGCTGTGATAGTGAAGAGGCAGGGGGGCTCCATGGGAAACTGGGGTGCGTACACCCCACCTGATGAGTGGCTCCCACCCAGCGGCAGTCCCAGTGTGGCCCAAGCATAGTTGTTTTCCACTGAAGTTGGGAATCTGAATTTGTACATGAATGTTTTTAAATGCTGGTAACTAATTTAAAACTTTAAAAACCCACTGTGTGGGCTAAACAAAATGCACTTCTGGGCTAGGAAATGCCCGAGGGCCCCAGGCCTGGTGTGGAGTTGAACCTCTTCACTGTGTAGGCGCAGAGGCTGAGGAGCAGAGGGGCCCGGGCCCTGCCCAGGGTCACACAGCAGAAGCCAGAAGAATGGAGATTTGGGTCTGTTCTTTATCATTCTTCTGGGCTTAGGGTGGGTGGGGCACGTGTGAACCTGAGATCTGGGATATCGTGGGTGTGGACAGAACGTGATGGGGTCACAGGGCCAGGCCACCCTGGGAGACCGTGAGGGTGGGCAGACAGATGAGGGAATCATGGGGTGGGCAGTGGGGTAGCTAGGACCGGGGCTGGCTGGGAACCAGGTTCCTCCAGGAGAAAATCTGGGAGAACTTGGCTGCCCTCATGAAACTCTATTTCCTTCTCAGGATGCACTGTTCATGCCTGTGTGCGTGCGAGCGTGCATGCACATGTGCGTGCAATGGGTACGTGCCTGTGAGAGTAGAAAGGCAAGTGGGGGGCGGAAGAGAGGGTTTAAGGTATTACCACCCCCCGCCATCACCGTCAAGAGGGACACTCCTTTGTTCGTTGGGATTGCAGACCCCGCTCTAGGGGGATACACTTCAATCCATATGACCAAGAGACCCTTTGGGGGCCAAAAGGGCTGACATGCCCTTCCCACCAAGCTGAGCTGCAAATGACTGGGATCAGGAGCCGGCTCTGGGAGAGCTGGGTCTGCAATCCAATAAGAAGTGTCCTTCTTGATGGTGATGGCGGGGGCGGGGAGGGTGATGGTGGTACAGAAACGCCATCTAGCCCACCCTGGCCAGTGCCATTTCATGAAGGAGACCTTTTCCAGACCAAGCCCTAAACCTTCTTTCCCACCCCCCGCTTGCTTTTCCATTCTCATGGACACACACCCATTGCATGCATGAACAGTGCATCCCAAGAGTGGCACAGTGGTTGAAGTACTCGGCTGCTAACCGAAAGGTTGGCGGTTCGAACCCATCATTCACTATTAGGGAGAAAGATGTGGCAGTCTGCTTCTGCAAAGATTACAGCCTTGGAAACCCTATGGGGCAGTTCTGTTCTGTCTTATGGGGTCTTTATGAGTCGGAATTGACTTGATAGCAATGGGTTTGGTTTGTTTTTATACCTGTGGTTATAATCCCATTTGTGAATGGGTCTTCTTTGCTATGTTAATGAGACAGTATTAGCGTAGGTGTGTTTTAAGTCAGTCTCTTTTGAGATATGCAAGAGATTAAGCAAGCAAGCAGAGATGGGGGAAGATGGGTACACACCACATGAAGGTTGCCCAGGAGCCAGAGAAGAAGGACTTTCCCCCAGAGCTGACAGAGAAAGCATTCCCCTAGAGTTGGCACCCTGAATTCAGACGTCTACCCTCCTAAACTGAGAAAATAAATTTCTGTTTGTTAAAGCCACCCACTTGTGGTATTTCTGTTATAGCAGCACTAGGTAACTACGACATTTGGGCTCCCGGGCCTGCCTCTGAGCCTCGCCTGGGCACAGATTACTGTCTCCAGCGGCCTGTTCGCCATTTCCACTCAGATGATTCCTAGACTTCCCCAACTCCTCACACCCAGACTGAAGGTCCTGTCCCCTCCAGCCCTCCTTCTGCCGCCTTCTTTGTCTCAGGAGTGGAAGCTCCTTCCAGGTTCCCAGACCAAAGACCCGGGCTACTCCTGACTCCTCTCTTCCCCTACCCCATCCAGCCCATCAGCAGGTTTTGTGACTCCACCTTCCAGATCAGTGCCCTTTCCAGCCCCTCTCCCCATCCCTTGCCTCCCACCTCCTGCCCAGGTTCCCTTGCAGACTGTTCTCAGCACAACCACCAACAGACCCCTTTGTTAGAAAGCCCCATCCTGTCACTCCCAAGTCCTGGCCCTTCCAGCCACACAGACAGGCACCCTGCCCCATCCAGCCGCTGGCCTCTGGTCCCACCTGGCCTGGGCATCACTCTGCCCTTGCCTGCCCTGCCCCAGCCACGCCAGCCTGTGGGCTGTCCTCAGGGACTTCTTGTCTCACCGTGCCCCAGGCCCTTTGCCCATGCTGTTCCCTCTGTGTGCCGACTTTGCCTCCAGATAGTCATGTGGCTGTGACTCCATGGTTCCATTCAGGTCTCAGCTCAGGCGTCACCTCCTCAAGAAGCCTTCCTTGACCACCCTTGCTACATAGGCTCCCCCCACCCCCCACAGTCATTTCTGACCCATTTCCCTGCTCTCATTCCTTCATTTCTTCATTGTACTCCTTACTACCTGGCTTTCAGTTGTCTGGTGATTAGCTTGTGGGTTTATGATCTGCCTCCCCCACCAGAATGCCAGTTCCAGGAGGGCAGGGACAAAGCTCGTCTTACTCACCAACAAGTCCCCAGGTCCTAGGTGGTACCTGGCACACGGTGTTGTTGTTGGCCCCAACTCGTGGTGACATTATGTATAACAGAATGAAATGTTACCTGGTCCTCTGCCATCTTCATGATCATTGGTATGTTTGAGACTGTTGTTATGGCCGTTGTATCAGTCCGTCTCATTAAGGGGTTCCCTCATTTTTGCTGACCCTCCACTTTACCAACCACGATGTCCTTTTCTAGTGTGGCACACAGTAAGTGCTCAGGAGGGACTGGTTCACGAACTGGCAGGCCTTCTCCCTTCCTGCTGTGCTGGGCCCTAGGGGAGGGGACTGCTGTAGGTGTGGGGACCTGGGCTGACCTCTCTCTTCTCCCCTGCCATCCAGCCCATCAGCAGGTTCTGTGACCAGTCTTTGCGACTCTCAGGCCTCCAGAACCTAGCAGGGCTCAGGTCTTGCTGCCCTGCCCTTGCTGCCCTGCCCAGCCCTGGTAGGCCGGTGGCACGTGAGCTGCTTTCTTTAGAAACAGCCGCAGCTAAATCTTGATCTCCCTTCTCTTCTTCCTCAGAAACTTTAAAAAATGTTTTTAGCTTTGAAACTACAAACATTTAAATACTAGTGATGTTGCTTCATTGTCTTTTTTCTTTTTCAGTCAGACCATTTTAGCAAAGTGACGTGTAAACATTAGCGCTTGGGCTGGGGGCTGGGCTGGGGCCTAGAGTTGGTGGAGAAGGGCCCTTGTCTGGGACTTGAGGAGCCTCTGTGAGGTGGGGGGCAGGCCTGGCCACTGAGAGTCACTGGGGCTGTGGGAACCAGTGGCTTTCTCAGGGTGAAAGTGGCGAGGACTGAGAGAAGGTGGCGTAGGAGCGCTTTGTGGAGGATGATGAGGAGGGGGTTGGGGAGTCTCAGGACTGCGGGCAGGGGAAGGGGAGGTCTGGTGGCGTCTCTGGGCTTGAAAGCAGGTTTGGGCGGGAGTTTGGACCTTTATTGCTGCTTGCTGGTGATGGGACTTTGGGGCAGGGTGTGTCGGATCAGCTGCTGTGGAGATCATGCTGGCTTCCTAGGGAAGGGAGGAGTGGAGTGGGGGAGGGCAGGGAGGCGGCCGGCGTGTTTGGGGCAGATGGGAGGTGAGGCCTGAGCTGGGGCCAGGCGTGGTGAGGAGACAGGGGAGAGCTTTTGCAGGGAGAACCGACAGGACATAGGGTGTGTGTATATGTGGAGGTGGGGAGCGTTAGGGACAGTAAGGTGTTCAGGATAATTCTGGGAACGGTGGTCATGTTTGCTGATCTGGCTTAGGTGGGTGCCAGGAACATCCCCTGGAGCTAAATTTACACTATGGGGTGCTCCTGAGCCCTGGATCTGAGGGCAGGGGGTGGGGCTGACATGCCAAAGCTGGGGAGGTGCTTGTTCCTGCCCAGCATCTTGGGTTGGTGGCCAACTCTGGCCAGCAGCCACGGGGCCTCTGGGCAGTTCTTTAGGGGGAGAAATTATTTAGGTGGCTGTGTGTATGTGTGCGTCCTGGCATGTGGGTGTGGCGGTGTGTGTGAGACAGTGTGTGTGATTGTGTAGGGGTGATGGAGGTGGATATGTGAGTAGCTGTGGCATGCATGTAACACATGTCTGTCATAGAAGGTATGAGAGGGGCCCAGTGTGTCCATGTCGTGCTGGACGTGAGCCCTGGTCTGGGAGTGTGACTGTGAGCAAGGGGACAGCCTTGTGTGTGTGTGTGTGTATGCATGTATGTGTGTATGCCCTGCATTTGAGTCTGCAGTGTATGTGTGTGCATGTATGTGTGTGACTAGGCAGGAGGGTCCGACTGAGGGCATGTGTCACCATGGAGATGGGGGTGGGGGTTGAGTGGCTGGCTGAGTGAGCAGGTGTGGGGTGCTGTGGCGACCCTGTGATCTGGCCTGTGGAAGAGCATGCGTGTGGCAGAGTCTGTGTACACCTCAGCCAGTGGGGCTGAGAGAGTAGGGGAAGCACGCCTGGGCTGGGAAAGGTTGTACCTATGGCTTCTGGGGTGTGCACATATGAATGAAGGCACCTGAGGCTAAGTCCAAGTGCTTATACATGCTGGTGTGTGTACATGTAGCGGTGAACACGTGTGTGTGCACAAATGCACACATGTATGCACACGTGCCAGATCTGCAATGTGTGCACATGTGTGTGCTCTGGGCCCAGCATGGGCTACTAACAGGCTTCCTTCCTGATCCCCCAGGGCCTCAAGGAGAAGGGGACCATCCGGCGTGAGGTGTGCCTGAGCTGGCTGTGGGACGATGGTGCTGCTCTGCGGTCCTGCTACAGCATGGCTGGCCCTGGTCCTGGCCCTGGTGTGTCCAGGCGAGGCCGCGCCACCGAAGGACTGCACGGGCATCGAGTGCCCGCTGCTAGAGAACTGCATTGAGGAGGCGCTGGAGCCAGGTGCCTGCTGTGCCACCTGTGTGCAGCACGGCTGTGCCTGTGAGGGCTACCAGTACTACGATTGCCTGCAGGGTGGCTTCCTGCGCGGCCGCGTGCCTGCTGGCCAGTCCTACTTCGTGGACTTCGGCAGCACCGAGTGCTTCTGCCCACCAGGCGGTGGCAAGATCAGCTGCCAGTTCATGCTGTGCCCGGAGCTGCCGCCCAACTGCATCGAAGCTGTGGTGGCCGCAGACAGCTGCCCACAGTGCGGCCAGGTGGGCTGTGTCCACATGGGCCGCAAGTATGCTGCCGGCCACACTGTCCACCTGCCGCCCTGCCGGGCCTGCCACTGTCCTGACACGGGCGGCGAGCTCATCTGCTACCAGCTGCCTGGGTGCAACGGAGACGCTAAGGCCCTGCCAGCCGCCACCGTCACCACCGGGAACTTCTCAGACACCGAGGAGGGTGACGCCGGGCGGCACTATGAAGACCCCTACAGCTATGACCAGGAGGTTGCCGAGGGTGAGGCGGTGGAGGCAGCGACCTTGGCGGGTGAGCTCCAGGCAGGCGCAGGGGCCCCGGCTGCTCTGGAAGGCGGGGGTCAGCCCCTGTCTGCCATCCACGCGACACCCTGGCCAGCTGCCCTCCCCAGGCCCACAGCAGCTGCTGCGCTGGGTCCCCCGGCCCCTGTTCAGGCCAAAGCCAGGAGAGTGACTGAGGACAGCGAGGAAGAAGAGGAGGAAGAAGAGGAGGAGGAGGAGAGGGAAGAAAGAACTGTCATGGAGCAGCTGGCAGCAGGTGGCCTGAAGGGGCTGGACGGGCCACCCAATGCAGGCCCAGCCGAGCTGGGTCTCCCAGTCCAGGAGGTGGGAGCGGAAGCAAGGGCAGGGCCTGAAGAGAACCTCATCCCCGACGCTCAGCCCACCACCCACAGCGCAGGGCAGGAGGGAGCCAGGCCTGCACTGGCATCTGGCATAGCAGGTCCTGTCCCCACGCTGGGTGCTCCTGGAGACCTGACCAAGCCCAGCGTCCACACCACCCTGAGCACGCCACTGCGGGAGGTAGCCCAGGACCTCCCAACCCAGGAGGTGCCCAAGCAGCCGAAGATTCTGTCCCGTCCCCGGGCAGAGGAGGACACAGACCCCAACTCTGTCCATTCTGTCCCCAGAGGCAGCCCTGAAGGTAAGACCCTTTCCTTGTTTCTCCAGGGTACTTTGTCTGTTGAGGGGGGCAGCCTTGGGGGCTCTGGTCACTGCCCCAGATCTCTGCACAGCTGCCTGGGACAGGGGGAGCCAGGCCTGAGGAGAGCCTTGTCCAGGAAGCCTGGCACAGGCCGTGCATGGCACGAGCAGGAGGCTCTGCGATGGAGCTTCTCCAGGCCCAGCTCTGTGGGGATGGAATGGGAGGGGGAAGGAGGCCACCCGATAGGGCCCCTCAGGCATCCCTCATCAGAGCCAGGAGGTTCCTGAAGAAGGTTTCCGCTCAGGGGCAGGGCGGGCCCAGCAGGGAATGCTGAGCACAGACCTGTTGTGGCCAGCAGCTCACTTCCTGGCCTCCTCCTGACACAGGTCTCTGGGCACAGCTTTATTCGCAGTCTCTTGTGGGGGCTCCTTGTGGGATCCTGGTTCTCTACCAGGTCTGCCACCCCTTCCAGCCAGGGATCCCATTAACACACAAGTCAGACCTTGTCCCTTCTCCGCTAAGAATCTCCCAGGGCTTTGCCTCACTCAGAGTAGAAGCCCAAGTCCTCACCGGGCCATAGGCGCTGCACATCTGTTCTGGCTTCCTTGCTGTCCCTCCTCCTTTCAGGCACCCTCCTGCCCCAGGGCCTTTGCACTTGCCACCCCCTCTTCCTGAAATACTCTTCCAGATATCCTTGTGGTTCACCCCTCCCTTCTTTCAGCTCTCTGCTCTGTGTCACCTTCCCAGAGAGGGCTTCCCTGATCCACCAGCTAGAGGAGGCCTGCCACCCCTTCCTTCTGCTCTGCTTTATGTTCTCTTAGCAGGGCCTGATGTGAGAGCATGTAGTTACTTGTTTACTTGTGTATTGCCTGTCTCCCCAATAAAATGTTAGCCTACACAGACAGGAACCCCGTCTGCCGTATCCAGTACTGTGCCTGAGTGCCTGCAGCAGTGCCTGGCACACAGTCGATGCTCTGTAAACATTGAGTGGATGAAGGAATCAATGGAGCAGGCTCTGACCACTCCCCTCCTTCAGTCTTCCCTCCTTCCAGCACACCCACACTGTCTTTCTAGAGGCCAGGTACTTGCTCATATGCTCCCGTAGCCAGCTCAGGGAGTACCTTCTCCAAGAAGTCTTCCCTGAATCTTCCCAGCCCTGGGCTGGGCTTTGGGTCTTATCTGATGCCCCTCTTCTTCCTGCCTTGCCTACCCCCCAGCTCTGAGTGTGCCCTGGGGATTGTCTGTTACCTGTCTCTCCCCAAGCACACGTCCTGTGTGCAGGCCCTGGAAGGCCCCTTCGGGGGCAGAGATGGAGCAGTGTGGCCCTGGCCCACCAGGAGGGATACCCGGGTGGTATCTGGGAAGGCTTCCTGGAGGCAAGGGCATTTCTGCAGCATTCCTATCTGCCCACGCTGCCACCCTAGCTGTGCGGCATTGGGCAAGTCTCTTACTGGCCTGGCCACATGTCCTCATCTGTCATTGCTCCCCTCACTGATGGGGCCCTGTTCTGGGTACAGTTGTGTGCCTGCAACGAGGAGTAAAAACTGGGGAGCTCTGTGGCCTGCATGGCCCTATTTCCAGCCTGCTTGTGGGGGGTATGTACCTGGCTAGGCACCTACAGGGCCCCAGGTACTGTTTCTGTGACTTCATCTTCCCCACAAGACCAGAGGTGGGCTCAATATCCCTGTCCTAAGCTGAGGAAGTTGAGGTCACAGAGGTGGGGTTAGTGGCCACAGGTCACACAGCTGCAGGTAGCCTGCTAGGACAGGGGTGTTGGGCTTCAGGGCAGCTCCTTGGCTTCCTCACTAGCCCTGGGCCTGCGGGGTATGTGTGTGGGGCTGTGCTTGGGGCTTGGGGGCAGTGCTAATGAAGTGCACGTGGGCCTGGGTAGGTTTCCGGGCTGGCTTCCTGCAGGGTGCAGCTTGTTTGGGCTGTGAGACTCCAGGGTTTTCAAAATAGCCGCAGCCCCCATTTCGCCCCTGCCTCTTGCTGCCAGAGGCCTCGCTGTGGTTCTAGGCCTTTGGATCCCTGGAGAGGGCCTTTGTTCTCACAAGCCCCAGCTTTTTCTCTGCCCTGTGCTTTCTCAGATGGGTTTCGGGATGTGGCCCTTAGTGAGGGCTACTGAAAGATTGAGGTCCTCTCCCGTCTGAGGGCTGCCCTGGCTGATGGCTCAGCACATGCAAAGGCCCGGAGGGCAGAATGAGCAGGGCGTGGATAGGGATGTGGAAGGAAGGGAAGGTATGGGAGGCAGGGGGCATCCAAATGGAACCCAAGACGAGGCACTGCCTGAAAAACCAGGGCCAGCCTGTCATCCACGACCCCATCCACCTCTCCTCCCACTTGCCCACCTGCCTCTGCTACCTGTGTGACTCAGGCAAGAGGCTGAACTGCTTTGTGCCTCAGTTTCTGCATTTGTAAAGCAGTGGAGAAGCTCAGTCTCCGCCTCGTGGAGCTGTTGTGAAGATTAAATGAGGTAATGCATACCAGATGCTCAGCACAGAACTTAGTACTTGCTGAGTAATTAAAAATGTTAGCAGATATTATTCATCCATTCTTGAGTCCGCCCACTTCTTTCTTCAGCAGATGTCTACTGAACTCTCTGTGCTGGGGGTCATGCCAGGGAACAGGTCCAGCCTCTCCCTGTTTGTGGCCTGATGGAGGACGAGGATATTAAACAGAAAAACAAACAGATTTGTCTGTGGTGATAACTAAGGGTGGGCGACAGGAGGCTGATTGGGGGAGTTGGGTTGCCCGTTTGAGCATCCTGGGGAATTGGGCGTGGGGATGCAGTTGTCGGGGGTGGGCATGGGTCCTAGGTGGTAGAGGGGCTGTCAGTGGGGAGAAACTGGGGAGGTAGCTGGCTTAGCAGTGGAGCCTGTGGAGAGGCAGGCTGGAGTGGAAGGGACCCCCCAGCCGTGTTGCCTGGGGAAGGAGCCAGTGCCCCAGGCCTAACTCAGGCGGGGGTCCTGCCGTTGAGCCAGAGCTGTGCCAGAGATCCAGGCTGCCTCGGCTGGGCCATCCCTGGCTTTGAGTGTGTCCAGATGTGGCCTAATGGAAGCCACATGCCCAGCTCCCTGCTCCGAGAAGAAGGGGTCTGATGTCTGTTGTTGCTCAGGGGGCTTTGGGAGGGCAGCTTTTCTCTCTGGGCTGGCACAATGGAGGGAACCATGAACCCCCTCCCCTTCTCTGGCCCCTCCTGGGCCACAGACGAGGGAGCCAGGCTTACCTTCGGGGTCTGAGGCTCTGGGAGAGCTAGTGGCAGCCCCTCCTGGAAGAGGCTCTAGTACCACCTTTGTGGTCCCTCAGGACGCGTGGCAGCAAAGAGGCCCCTTCCTCCTCGGGGCCTCACTTGACCAGAATCTCCAGGGGTGCGGTCTCTGAATACTTTGACATTCTGGTTATCAGAGAAGCTCTTTAAACTTCTAGTTACTGTTTAAATTAATTGCAGACACCACCTAGCACTCTGCATCCATCAGCCCCCTCATCCTCCCAGCAGCCCTATCAGGTTGGCACTCACGTTTCCAGCAGAGAAAAAGGAGTTCCAGAGAGGGCAGGCCACAGATGGAAAGCGGTGACCCAGGCTTCTCCAGTATTTATTCTCTTCTTCATCTGCACTTTTGAATGCCCAGTGTGTGCATGGACTGTGGTCGATGCTGAACGTACAATGTTGAGCAAAGCCCAGCAGAGTCCCTGCCTTCAGGGAGCTTACGGTTTTGTGGGGGAGATAAAGGATCCACAGTCCCGCAGATGTGAAGATGTGAGCTGTGGTGTGGGCTGCAGAGCGGAGGTCCAGTGCTCTGCCACCTGTCTAGGGGATTGACTCGTCCTGGAAATCAGGGAAGACTTCCTGGAGGAAGTGATGCTTGCAAGGAGACATGGAGGGTGAGGGGTATTAAGTTGGTATGTGGGGAGCAGTGAGAAGAGAGTGCTCCAGGCAGAGGAAACAACACTTGCAAAGGCCCTGCAGTCAGAGGGGACTTGGTGAGGAGTTGATAGGAGAAGCAGCTGGGAGGATGGGGGATGTGTTTATTCTCAGGGTAAAGATTTTGGCCTTTGTCCCAAAGGCAATGGGGAGCCACTAAAGGTATAAAGCGGGGGGTTGCATGATCTGATTTGTGCTTTGCAGAGCTCCCTCTGGGGGCAGGGAGGACAAGCTGGAAGCAGGGCTGTAGCCCCTGGAGCCAGCACTCCAGGGTCCTCCAGAATCACCAGGCTGTGGCTCTGGGGAGCAGGAGGGAATGACCCACCTTGCCTTTCCTCTCCAGTCTTGGCCTGTGGGAGTGTCCAGTTTGTATCATAGCCCAGGGACCCAGGGGGAGCTGGTCCAGGATTCCAGATACCCGAACCTGTATCCTGTGAGACAGTCACGTCCTGCAGGGGCTAAAGGTCCTGGAGCAGCTGTGGGTGGGGTGGCCGTGCCAGGGCCGTGGCCCTGTTCAGCAGCAGAGCCCTGCCAGGAGGCTTAGAGGTAGACTCGGCCAAGCCTTCCTCTCCTCACCCCCACTATGAGCGGAGGGCCCCTCCAGGCCCCTGTGAAGGTCTTGAATGGCACATCTCCGACTTCCAGGGCTGTGTAGGGCCCTGCTGGGGGTAGCTGTGGACAGGTGGAAAAGAGGCCTGGGTCCCCACCAGCCCTGTGTTTCCTCGGGCAAGTCCCTGTATGGAGCGTGGTTACCGAGGCCCTGGAGCGGAAATGACATCAGCCAGCCCTGTGTACCAGATGCAGAGTGCTGGCCTCCCTGTAATGGGGCTCTGAAGATGGCATGTGCCAGGGCCCACCCGCATTCTCTCTGTGACCTGGGGCTGTAATTTCACCCCTCGGAGCCTCAGTTTCTCATCAGCGAAGTGGCGTGGATAGCAGTTCTGAGCACATGGGGCTGCTCTGAGGACGAAGCGGATGATGTGTGTCCAGCAGGGCCTGGCCCCGTGTGAGGAGTGAGGGCCCCCCATGTCACACTGTCCCCGCGGCACCAGCTGTCCCGCCATTCTGGGGACACCCC